CCGTCTTGCAGACAGCCACGCAGTGCGTCGTTAAGACGTAACCACCGCCGTTTCGCTAACTCGCGGTCAACTAAATCCTGTCGAGAACGAGGTTAGGCTTAACCAGTCGTAATCGTTACAGGGTGCCACTTCAAAGTGACGGTACCCTAACGTCCAATCATCAGTTTCCGGTGAGTTCTACCTGTATGACTTATACGTAGGGCGGGTGTTCTGCAGCACTGACAGATAGGTAGGTTACCTATCTTGCCGTGCTGTGCAGTGTGCACTGTACACTGTGTACAGTGTAGATACTAGGACTGTGATTGGCATGTCCTAGTCTCTACTGAGAGTCTAGAGTGGTCAAATCCGTACCGACTCCCACGTACCGTAGCTCCAACGCCTCAACATTGCGTCGGGACTCGGGAGCCAGTCCGCTGCACATGTACCGGGTAGCCGGGCCTCTTCCCCGGGGCGCAAACCTTGGCGGGGCCCGACCGCCCAAGGGTACGGTACGTACCGTCATTGTGAAGTGGCACCGTGGTACGTACAGGAAGCGTAGGTACCTAGTATACCTGTAAGTTGTAACCTAGGCCATGCGTACTTTCTCAAAGGGCGACAACCCCCCCCCCCTCAGGTGCCTAGCCAGTCGAAGATATATACCTATATCGCGTCATGCAAGCCTATGGCCTCACGTAAGCTACCTAGGAAGCAAAGAATCGTCCAGAAAACGGAGTGTGAATCAGGGAATTTGTGACCATCGTACCGAACTTGCTGTAGATCGTCAAAAAAAGTAAGGAGGATATTCACATTCTTTGACAAGCGGAATCGGGTAATCGGGTCAAAATATTTGCGGGATTTTGCCCTGCGCTTTTAGCGGTGGACAAAAAGCCAGGGCTACGCCCCGGTCCCCAGCCCCACAGGCCACGGCCCAGGTGCAAAGGCCTGAAGTAACCCGCTCCCTCCCCCACGCTAAGTTGCATGGTGCATCAGGTATACCAAGTCTCAGACCCCCCCCCGCATCAGAATACCTACCCGGCGCGCGCGGCGTGCCCTTCGCTTCAAGTTAGCTAGCCGCGCTTGCTCGGGCCGGGCCCCCGGGCCATGCGCGATACCTACGTAGGCGCTGCTGCGCTACCGGCTGCCACCCCGAGGGCACTCTTTGCCCCGATCGAGCCCCGGGAGACCTCGATATACCCGGGGACTGGGTTGAGATTCAACCCTGTAATTAATTTCATTGGTGTTTGTGACTTGTCAGAAGATGCCGTACTCAAGGAATCAGTGCAGCTGATTGACGTCCGGAACCGGCGAGCAGTCGGCGGCCCGCCGACGGTCCTTTGATAACCAGGATCATACCGGTATCCTGTAGATCGAATCATCGAACGCTAGTAGGAACGCTAAATTTAATTTGGCCGGCAGAGCTTCGAAGTCTTCACTTCTGTTTGGTCTGTACACTGTACGCCTAATAATGCAATAAACCAGCGCCATGGCAAAACGATCGTTCAAAGTCGTCACAGGGTCCCTGCACGATAAGGGTCCAGATATCAGCACTGGCGGGCCAACTCAGACTACGATCACTTACACTGCCAACAGTCTGATGATTGGAGAAGATTCCCAACCCTTGCAGCAGCTGCTTGAACTGCCTAGCTGAGACTAGCGCCTCAGGAGGGCTGCAGCCAACTTCGGCTGAATCACTGGCAGCAGCTATAAATCAATGCCCCAAGCGTTCATTTCCACCATTGCAAGAAAACGTCCTTCTTTCCTTCACTCAACAGCGTTCTCCAGATTCTCGGCGACCAGTCCCTCTCACCATCATGGCTTCCCGCACTGTCGCAGCGGTGCTGCTGGTCGCCCTCCTGGGGGCCGCCGTTGCTCCCTTTGCCCTGGCCGCGCCCCCCCAGACCGTAAGCATTTACTGAAGACTCAGTGCAGAAATGAACTTACATACTACAGTGTTGCTTCATTTTCTTAGTCTGAGAATTGCAAGGTTTTCTGGACTTCGGTTCGTTTGCAACTTTGTCTTTGCGTACGTCGGAAAGGCCTGTGAATGCCACTGAGGTGAAAGTTGATGTTTTGAAAGAGGAAGCAATGTGCTTGTGATGTTGCTTGGTACTATTGGTCTCAAGCTGAATGCTGAATGCTAAATGCTGCCAGCCAGTACACTGCAATGCCGCCTTTCGAAGGCCATTTTACGAGAGACATGGTGTGCACTGGAAATGACTTCTCCGAGTGACTCCCTACCAGCTGCCTTGAACTGCGTATCTGCATTCTTGGTTGGAACAACATTCTCAGCTTGTTTGCTTTTCTCACCTCTTCCAACTTTGGTAACTTGACAGTAGAAGCTTGCTTTTTGACTGGTTTTGGTGGAAAGCCCCTTCCCTCTGCAGGGGAACCCCCTTGCTGTCTGACTTTAACCTGACTGAAAATGTAGTCTGCTCTCATGTTCAAACATATTCAACTGTTCTGTGCCTCTTCCCTGGTCACAAACAGAGGCTAGTGGACAGCATTTGACCTAGAGGCATTCCTCTTTTTTGATAGTAAAGCGTAAAAGGCAGCATGTCACTCCCTTATGACCCTGATGATCTCAGCTTTGCAGCGTCCCATAGCTAAAGCCTTGAAACCACGTGCTCCTTGAACCAGCTTTCCCTTGTTTCCAGATCATCAGGGTCCGCGGAGTTGGGCCCACTTTCAAGCAAGGCGACTACCCCAACGCGGTCGGCACTGCCAAGGTGAGTCACAGCAAACTTCCTGCTAACTAAGCTTGGTTGGCCTTTGGTTAAGTCTCTTTGTGCTGATGTGATCAGAGGGGTCACTCGCAAAGTTGAGTCCCCTGTTTCACCACGTTTAAGAAAAGCTACTTCTTGCAGATCTGACTCAGCATAGTTGTCTGAGAACCAGTATGTTTCTCTGTCATTTCCACAATGCGTCAAACCACTGTTCTCAAGTGACCAGCATTCTACGGAAGATTGCATTCGCGCACATTGGTATATCTTTCTGAGACATCTTCATGACCTGAGCTTGTGTGACTTAGCTCAAGCTTGGATCTCCCACTGACGTGAGGACCCCTGTTTTGCTGACGTGGATCTTCTCCCAACGTGATTCTTGCGCAGATCTTCAGCTACACCGCCTATGACTTCTATGACAAGAGCGTCGTCTACGGCCAGGTGACTGGCAAGTGCGATGTGGTCAACGCCTTCTCCGGAGGCTCTGTGGAGAACTGCCAGTACTCCTTCGACTTTGACGCAGGCAAGACCCGGACTTCCTTCTACTTTTTTCTGAACTGCATTTTGGTTGCAGGGAAGCTAGGATCAGTATCTGGTGGAATAGCTATGTTGCGGTGTTGGCGGAACAGGAGTCATGGGAACAGGCTCAACTTGTTTAGCGCACGAGAAAGCTTAGCTTCCTGAGATGGTTCTAGACGATTTCAAAGAGAAACGATCGCTTTGCAAAAGCATGTTTGGAGGGGACCTGAGTGGGATCAAAACGGTAAATCTGAGCGGCAACATTTATTGCTAAGCTGAGTGTTCCATCTTTTTTCAATAGTACATCATTCTGGATATAGTTTCGCAAAGTGTCTTTTGAAATCCGTAGTTTCCCTTCAACCTATCTCGTAGGGTCAGGTAGTAGTGCCATACCAAGAGGAAAACTCCAAACTTCTGACGTCCCTTTCTTTCCGCACCCAAATCTCCGTTCGAATAGATCCCTGACGTACTAGCTTCCTGGCTATTGGCTTGGCCTCCGTACTGTGAATTTATAAAGACCCCGCAAGTCTGGGCTTCATCTTTAATGTCACCGCTCTGACGCAAGCCATGACGTCATCTGCTGCAGGCCAGATCATGGTCATCGGCAACGTGCACACCGACTACCGCCCCGAGAGCTTCCTGGCCCTAGTGGGAGGAACCCGCAGCTACCGCGAGGTCACCGGGCAGATGCAGCGCCGCGTCATTGCCGCCGACAAGCGTATCTTCCCCAACGAGGACTCTGAGAACGAGTACATCCTGGCACTCAGCGCTTAAGTGATGGGGACACAGAAGTGCCCGGTGCAAATTGTACCGGGCGGAGCTGTCGGTAAAGTTTAGTACGCCGAGGTTGTCCGCAGTTTGTAACGGGTCCGGCGAGAGAAGGAGAGTCGGAGTGGATTCAATTAGTCGTTGAATAAGATGTATGCTTCATTCGAGCATGCTCTTTAGGGTCGGGTTTCTAGTACAGTTGTCGAAGACTCCGTTTGCTTGAAAGTGAGTTGTAAAACGGACTTCAGTCAACAAGTATTTAGTTTTAAGATTTTGTAGCGGCATTTATAATAGGTTCGGTTGGAGGAGATGATTGCATTGGTGTAGGGTTCGTGGAGGATTCGTAGCCCCAACCGAACCGTATCTAACATACTAGACTTTTCTTGTCAAGGGGATTAAACTGGACATATCAAAACCCTTGATATGTTCACAGGTTAAATTATGTTTGATTGCGAAAAGCCTTGCCGAGAATTTGATGCATGAATTTCTTTCTTGCCATGCATGTTGTTTTTCAACAATGATTGTCAGCCAGGCACCGCACTCAATTAAAGTCGACGTCTGTCCGCATCGAGCTGCGGACACATCAATGATTCCAGGCAAGCGTATACGAGTTGCACCTACTTATGTTCGTACCAAAGCAGGCCCTCCATGCAATTGGGTATGGCCGGTGGCCATCAATGCAGTTTAGTATAGTAGAACTGGCAGCGCTTGTGGGAGAGGTGTAGAACAGACAAACTTGAACCCAATGACCAGCTACCCTTCAGATCCGAGTCCTCGCGACGGTGCACTCTCAAATTGGTGGTTTTTTTGTACTCTGGAGTCGCGCAGAATAAACAATTAAGATTAGCGTACGTCAAAAAAGGCCTTTCAGGGGGAAAATTGCCAACATGAACTGGCGCCAGGTCGTTGTCCAGTTCTTCAGGTGAATGTTTTCTGTTCAGGATCTCATGTGACCATGACAGCGCGTATAATTGTCCTCTATAGCTGGCAACTTCGAATATCAGACGCGCGAAAGGCCGCCCTGCCTTTGGAAAGTGCAGCATCATTCAATCAATCGATTTCGATGCCTATGCATGTTACGCAACAAATCCAACGAGGTTTCTGGTTCAAGATTAAGAACGTATTTAAATGCTGGCATGTGTTTCAGTACATGTGGTGAGATCATTCTCTTCGATTGCACGTGCATTCCTCGATAGACAAATAGCATTCGTTAATCACTGAGTCATGTATGCAGACCTAATTAGAGCCGTCCGAAAGTTCCGAAGTTGATCGAAGCTGCAGTGCCTCGGTCGGAACACATCTTGCCGCGCCATCCAATCACTTTCAGCATGAGGCAGTGACGCGTTAACATTGGCTGACGGTGTAGGTATATGCTTTCTTGTAGAGACTCATACATGCCCAGTCTGTGCAGGTCACTAATCGATATAAAGAAACCAATCTCTCTCCCTCGCGTTCAGCAGGAGTCCCATGCACATGATGCATGCAACTTCGCGGTTAAGTCAGAATGAGGCAGAACCAGATTCGGTCTCTTGCATATACCCCTCACTTCCCTAGCTGGGGCGAAGCCGACAAGATAAGCACTTGGCGTGCACATTAGTCTATGGAGCCCTGTACATTAACGCTTTAATGTACAAACCGGTCCGAGTTGCGAGCAAGGCGTTATTGTTTGCTTGACAAGGACTTAACCCCCCACCATCTCTTCTTTCTCTTTTTCTCCGCCGACGGCGACGCGTCCTCGTCCTCAACTTCCTCTGTAAACGGCTGCGGCAACACTTCCGAAGAGAACTCCGCGTAGATCTTGTCGCGGAGACCTAGGAGCTCGTCGACTTGCTTCTTCTCCACCGCGTACTTTTGTGTGACCTCCGCGTACTTCGCAACAGCCTGCAAGCCGAACAGGACAGGACGTAATGACCAGAAAGGAAGAGCGTCTAGGTCCGGAACGAAAGTCGGAGTCGAGGCAGCTTTCCAACCTTGTCGAACGTGTCCCTTTCAGAAACAGATCTTTTGACCCTCTCTGATCTCAGCATTTCGCCCAAAAACCTTTTCTTCGAATTGATATACGCGTTCGGGCCTCCGCCCGCAACTGTTCGACCGTTCAAGCGTCCGGCTATGCCAATAAAACGCATCCTAGAAAAGGCCACCGCGGGCCCCTCCGACAAGAACTGTTTTTGTACGACGCTGAGCATGCGCCTCGCGCCTCTCGACGCTCTTCATAAAATGGAACGGATTAACGCGGGAGAAAGACTGATCCGAGCAGTGCAAGGACCCGTACAGACCGGACTCTTTTTCCGGGCACTATTCCGAGCGCCCCTAGAGACTGCGATGCGTGGTTATCCGTTGCAATTGAGCACGGGGGAAGATGCCGTCACAAACGCCGCGAAATCCGGAACACGTAGAATCTCCGGGACGGGTTCGGGCGCTTACGTCTCGGTAGACCGTCTCGAAGGCCTTGAGGTCGTTCCGCTTGTCCAGCAGGATCCGCTCGATGTTCTCCACCTTGTCCTTCACTTCCGCGATCTTATCCACCACTAACGCCTCGATCGAGTACGTCGCGCTCTTGAAAAAGTTGTCGCCTGCGGCATGACGTCACTCAAAGTTAGCCTTACGTCAGATTGCACCTTGCGTCGATCCTGACCCCAGTGACCTCCGCAATCTTATCCACCTCAATCGAGTATGTCGCACTTCGTCGCCTGCAGACATGACGTCACTAAAAATGAGACGGACGTCACATTGCGCGGATCTTCTGTATAACCAGCGCCGCTATTGAGTACGTTGCGCTCTTGAAAAGATTGTCGCCTGCGGGCATTACGTCACTTGGGGTCAGCCAGCACGCTCAGACAAGCTAATTCAAACACGGGAAGCTCGATCGTCATCACAGATCCGACTGTATAAATGTCCTGTGGTATACATACTAGTGGTATACTGACTTTGATTTGGCCGACTTTAGAGTTCTGTGACACACTTTGATTGGCGTCGCTAGCGCATCCGTTCTCTTGTGCCGACACCTCGCGCTCATGACTAGTTTCCAGGCGAGACGCGATTCAGCTGATTATGTTTTTGGCTTTGCAGCCCGTATGCACATGCGAAAATGTCAACCATAATTGTCCTTCTAATGCATGTTTTTGCCAGCTTTGAAAGACCAGTGAGAGAAGCGATAGCCCCCTCATATGGAACTTCAGATCCTAGACGATTGATGAATCTTCTCTTCGGTGTTTTAAACCATTACTCGGGTACCTCATGAACCCTGAGAAGGAGGCTCCGGGTAAAGATAACAAACTGCGGCCGCTCACCATACACCGCAAAGATATGCTCCCCCGCGTCTAGTCGCGTCACCTCAGCCGGTTGAAGCCCGTCTAACCGCTTGAACAGCGCGGCTTCTGGGTCTTTTGCTACATGCAGCTGTGACGAAACACTGGTTTAGTGGGGTGGGGTTAGCGAGGGGGACTCGTTGGCGACGCGGAGTCTGAGAAACGAAGCCGCTTGGCCAGGCAGGGTTTGGAAGCGCAGGCGGTCAGGGAGGGGGGGTTTGGAAAGCGAAGCCGGATGGCGAAAGGAAACCTGGAGAACGAGGGTGCTCAACGAGGTGGCGGAAAGAGCACAAGGTCGGTTAGTACGATTTGGTGACGAACCAAAGCCGGTTAGCGGGTAACGAGTTGGAAAGGAAGCCAGCTAGCGATGCGGTGTATGTCCGTTCAAGTTTGCAACGCGGGCTGGAAAAGATGCCGGTAGCGATGCGGGTTGCGGCACTCGAAGCAACGAGGCAGGGTCTGAGGTTTGAAGCGGGTTAGCAGGTAAGACAGTCCCATTTAAGAAAACCACTTGGCAAGGCAGAGTTCCGATGTATGGGGCCAATGCAATCGACTCTTTATTAGGGGATTTTGACCACGTCCAATCACACGCGGATGTTCGACTGCGACAATCAAGTGCCTGAAAAGCAAAGGGGAGCTTTCTCCAAAGAAGTTCTCGTCTCCGCAAGGGCGCGACGGAGTCGACCAACACAGCGACGTTGATGCTGGTGATAGGCAGGCACATTTTGAAGAAACGCAAGGCTGTGATTCGTTTTCACAAGATTCATCCGACCTGACCAAAATGCATTTCAGGAGTGGCGTCGGTCATCGCAAGAAGGCACCCGAAATCGTTTCGTCGCTCAAACTGGGCCTCTTAAATGCTTCCAATTGGATTTGGCTCCGACTTGTGGGGCCAGGGTCTTAGAGCTGACCGAGAGCTTACCGGGTTTACTGTCGGGTCTAATCGGTGCAGTTTGAAGTTGAGGAAATAGAAGCCCGCTGCCGTCACTTTCCCGGCTTTCACGCTGTCTTCTTGCGCGACAAGGTTATAGCCCCCCACTTGAGGATCGGGGTCGAAGAGCAACAACTGGAGACACAGGTTGCGTGTTTTGACGGACTGTTCGCATAACCCAAATCTTTCGCTGATCGAAGAATCACGACAACATTGCGTCAAAAAACGCTCCCCTTGAAGCAGTTCAATGCAACTACTTGGCAATGAGCAAGCAGAGAGTCTGCGCAGCGTTTCTGCTTGCTTTCACCAGCACAATACGCCTTCCTCACCTTACCCCCCCCAACCCCACCTTTAGCCTTTCATGGAAGATTGGATTATAATCTCAGGGACACACGTCGCAAGCAGCAAACTGATGTCAATGATCCGCAAACATAGTGATGGGCAGAAAAAAGTCCCCCTGGGCAAGTCGTTGAATCCCCAGAACAATCGAAGTTTCCACTCCAGATACCTATGTCAGGAGTAGGAAGACCTGCATTGAACGCCGGTCTCCACGCACGACCTAGATGGTTGCTTCTTTCAAAGCTGTACCTCACTGCGTGATAAGAAAGACCAAAGACAACAGCGTACTCTCACCTTGAACTTGCTTTGCGCATGCGACGTCACACGGACCACGACGCCTGCGTCAGAGTGCTCTTGAGTGACGACCAGCTTGTAGTAGTTGGCATGCTGCTTTTCCACCTGACAAGCCGCGCCAAAACCACTGTATCAATTTCAAACCCCTCTAAGTCGAAGCCCGACTTCCTGACCGCAAAAAGAGCCCTCTAAAAATAAGCAACCAAGCTAAGTGACTTCCGAGTATCTTGGGGTCGCGAGCTTTGATCTAGATCATTGCGACTGACGGCTGATGTGCCGATGCCTTGCCAAAGCTTTGCCGAGCAAGGAACATGGAGGAGATGGATCTCTCAGCGACGCTTGAGAAGAGACGAGAAGTAGTGAAGAAATGTCTCCGGCTCACTTTCGCCTGAATTGGGACACCCCAGGGGAGTGTGACAGCTGGCAGTTGACCAGATAAGGCAGCCTCCAGTATTGACGGAGCCACTGCGCAGTAACACACGTTGTCAGCTGGGAAAGTGCAGTGGTCACACGTAGGTCGACTGTGATTGAGGTACTGACACAAAGCATCTGAACTCGTCCGAGACGTACCAGGGAAAGCAAGATTCATGGATGGCGTTGGCTAAAACAGGAAAACTTCGCAAACAAAGATCAGCTACTTGCGGCGTACGCTGCGGTAGGGAAAGCTACGCTCAAAACCTACCTATGATTCTGGTTTGAATAAGAGAGAGCAGGACCAAAGGGACTTTCGAGATGGTTTGAATAAGAGAGAGCAGGACCAAAGGGACTTTCGAGAAGAAACATTCACCAACAGAGAAGCAGTCGGACATGTTGCAGTTCTGCAGGTAGCGGGCGAAAAACCGCCATATGATGACAATCAGGACAAAGGAGCAGAAACGTTCGGCCGCTACTTCACAATTTGCGGTTCAGACTTGTCAAAGAGCAAAGAAGAAAGTTGCTTGGAAGCGTCACCTGCCGTCTTGATCGGCACACCCAGCTTGCTAAAAAGAGCGGCGAACATCGTGTTGACAGTCCCCTGACAAAAAAAAGACAACAATCAGACTTTCCCAATCAGACGCAATGTTCATTTGGCTGTTACTCCAATACCAAATGCGACGGCTGTGCTTTTATAAACCCACCGAACAGCACAAGTGTCGGCATTGTCTTTTTACATACCCATAATGCTTGTCGGAAGCGCCAGGTCAATCAGTTTCAACAAATAAACATGTGGCGCATCGACTCCGGCCATTGCTTTGTGCTAGATCCTGGTGGTTACTGCCGGTTGATATGTGATTTGCAGTCCTCGGAATCCACTGACTACATGGGAAAGTGGTGGAACGTAGCCTCAGTGCCGGCATCTGAATGAATACACCAAGGGGGGCCAGAATGCATTCCTACGAACTCACCAAGCTGGAGAGGTCAAGCTCCATCTCCATTGCTTCCATGTCGACACCCTGCATCGACAGATGACTTTTGAATGCCAGAGGTGGTGCGTGAACTTATGCAACCCAGCGTAACTCCTATTGCAATCAGCTGAGCTTTGTACAGGTTGGATATCGCCTCAAAGATTGAGTTGCTTTAGATAGACTACAACAAGCTGCTAGACAGGCAGTTGCGTCAAAGGTTTTTAAAAGAAGAAGCTTTGAATATGGGCCAAACCTACTACACAGGCGAGTTTCGAGACAACCAGACTTACATCATAACCATGCGCGTCGTACTGCCTCTTCTTATCAGGGTCGCTGAGGATTGCATATGCAGTTGCGACCTCCTTGAAGGATTCAGTGGCCTCCGGGCTGTCATTCTTATCTGCATTAAAAAGAGGGCATTTGTCTCAAGGTACAAGAGTGGAAACTCCAAGAATGATGGCAAATGCTGGAAAGCACAGAAGAACCATCTTTGTGAGATCATGCCCGTCGAGGCATCTGCTGCAGAAAGATCTGACGAGGGAGACATATTGGGGGGTGAAAGGACGGTTAATTGAGCACCTACCTGGATGAAACTTCAATGCCAGCTTCCGATAAGCGGATTTGATCTGATCAGCAGTTGCGGTCTTAGGAACACCTAGAATCTCGTATGGATCCCGCTTGAGGGTCTTCTGGCCTGCGCTAAGCTGCGAGCTTTCAGCCATGGCTCTAGATCAACTCCCTCTCGTGCAACCAGAAGTGTCCTGCCTCTAGATCTGACTTACCTTAAACCTTTAATGAGCACAATTTCATCGCCCAATCAGTCAAAAGAAGAAAGGCACCGGAAGCGCTTCCTCAGATGCTGATGCAGAAGAGCAACAACTACAAGTCTTCAGACACCAGCACGCCCAAATTCCTGATCAAGCAGACAATTGGACGGAACTTGAACGCTCGCTAGCTGCTGTTTTCAATGCTTCCCCAATCGATGGCTTTCTGTGCTTGTCGCGGTCCTTTCCTTTAGTCTTTTCTCTCTATGTTGACCGACACACAGCGCCCTGCAGCCCTGGTTCCAGTTGCAAGCTGCCTGGCTGCCTTCCCTTGATTCTTGATTCTTGAAGTTGCAGGCTCAGGCTCTGCAGGGAAAATGAGCAAGGCGAGATTCCGAATTGGGAAATTGGTCGCTCCATTCAGAGCGCAGAAAACCAATTCCTTTCAAACAAGCTGTACAACAAGAGCAGAACGGGGCTTGTGGATAATTTCTAAGGACCACCTGGCGGCGACCTGAACGGGCAAGAACCTGGTCGCTAAAAGAACTAAGGGTACCGTCATTTTGTAACTGGTACCCCCCCATATTTAAATCGACCATTTTCGGAAGTTGCCCCTTGCCA